TATAGAACCAAGGAATAAGGCCTTCACACCATTGGCCAAAAAACAAAAAAAAAACAACACATACCCTGTCCAGCACCTGTACGAAGGTGCCAAGCAGAAACTGACTTCACAGCATCGAACAGAGAAGAAAGAGAGTCTCTTTCTGCATCGCCCTTCTTCGACTAGGGTTTCCTTGATATTACGACTAAGGAAGAACCCAAAGGAAGAGCTGCAAGTAGTCTGCTTGGGTTTCTCTGTCTTCCACGTCCAAGAAATCAAAGAAGGAAAAGAGGACAAAGCAGGTTCAAATAGGAGAGACCGAAATTCTTTTATAGCCCAGAACCTTGCTCTGATACCATGTAATCATTCACGGAGAGAGAGAGACAAGAGAGAGAGAAAAGAAGAGGAAGATATGATTGAGAGAAAAAGAAAAACTACTTCTGGCTGCCGCCAGTTCAGTTATTTATATTAACTTAATATAAAAAAAAATGGAGATTACAAGTATGCCCCTGGCGGCACTCCCTAGAAACAAACTAATAAGAAAGAAAGATAATAACTAACTGACAACATCTTAAGCTGACAACCCACTAACAAAAGATAATAACTAACTGACAACATCTTAAGCTGACAACCCACTAACAACAACTATAAAATAACAATTAAATAATCCTCACAACAACTTTCATCTCCACATATTCTTGCATTTTCCGAGCAAATAAGCTCCAACCCGACCCGTCTTCCTTTTGAAAGGCATACCAATTGTTTTCTATTGTTACCAAAAAACTCAATCACCTCCACAAACCACCCTTTCTGGTTGTATTTCAGCCAGGGATTAAAATATCAATACGATACATATCAGTATCGGTGTGTATCGCACTATATCAGCCGATACAGACAGATACGTTTACGCTGATACGCACGCTTCCCTTGTCTTGTTTATAAAATATTCCTATGAAGATCCGAACTCAAGCCTTGGCACCCATGCAACTACGCACTACCATTCTAAGCCACTGCGCCATCATTCAACATGTGATATTAAGTGAAATAAAATACACTTTATTAACTTTACCATTAACATGAACCTAGACAAATATATTGTTTATGTTCAATAATTCTAACTTAAAATAAAAAATAATATTAAAAATTACTATTTTATAAACATTAATGAAGCAAAAAGACTATCAAATTTACATTTATATCAAAAATTGTTTTTTACTCTCAATAAATTATACAAATAAAAATATTAATAATAGACAATTATTTTAGTTCTTAAATTTCATAAATTTGTACATTAGATGTATCTTCAAATTTTAATATTTGTTTATATATTATTCATTGATATTTTAATTTAGACTAAAATATAACATATTTATTATTTACAAAAATAAAAAAAATGTTTACAAAATATTCAAGAACATAATATTAAATTGAATTTATCAAATCCACTAATTTAAATTTATATAAAAAATGATTTGTTATTTCGGAAAAAAAAACTATAGAAAATAAAAATGTTAACAATGGAATCGTTACTTTAATAATTAAAAATTATGAATTTCATATGATATGTATCTTAAAAATTTTAATAATTTTGAGATACTTTTAGTTAAGATTAAAAGTAAAAATATGATAATAATATATGTATCTTAGAAAAATTATAAATTTCATATGATAGTAATTTTGATATTATCAAATATTTCAAAATTTAACAATTAATTGGCTATTTTTGTTAATGTTGAAAAGTAAAAATAGAAAATAATTGCTATAGTAATTAAAATATGATAGTTGCATATGTTTTGTGTCTTTGACTTATATAATTCAACATAATAATGGTTTTGTGCATGTTTTACTTCGTAAAAACTAGATAATATGAGTCTTGGACTCTTGATTGTTGGATTATCAACAAAATTGTATGATATTTATGTATCTTGTTATATTAGTAATATATTTATTTATGTATTTATGCTTTATTTGTGGCTATTTTGGCTTTTAAAATCAGTGTAATTGATGTATTTACAAAATTTGTATCATTTTCCTAGTGTATCCATGTGTTTTCATATCTTTTGTCCGTATCCATGCGTTTCCAAAGCGTATTCGTATCCAAACTGTCCGATATGATACCCGATACCAATACTTTGATCCTTGATTTCAGCGTCACCTAATATCTCCTTCTTGGAAGCTACAATGAACTCATCCACCCATTTTTCTTTACTGAGAAACATGCTTCCCAAGCTCTATTGTTGAGCTTCTATCAGTTTGTATTCAGGACCTTGAATAAAAAGCAAAGTTTTTAAAACCGAACCGAACAACGAACCGGCCAGGGGTCCGGTTCCCGGGTCGAATAGTCCAGCCGTTTGAACCGAATGGCCAGCCCGTTCTGACAAAAAATTAAAAAATTAAAAAAACGGCCAAAACCGTTGGATGGTTTGAATGGTTCAACCGCCCGGGTCAGCGGTTTGCTGACCAAATCAACGGTTTTTGGCAAAATAACGGTTCTAGGGTAAAACGGAACCGGTCAGGTGACCGGTTACCGTTTTTTCTGGTCTGGTCAGGTTTTGAAAACCATGATAAAAAGGCAAGGTAGAATGCAACATATTCACTTTTGCTATCATGTGGTTGATTTGGGTAAGATCAATGCATGTATAGTTGAAAACCATGCTAGACCAAAGAAGTCATGCCAAGTCATAGAGCTGGTGTGATCAATATATATTTGCAAGGAATTCAGTTCCCCTCTATCTCTACCCTATTGTTCTTCTAAAACTTTGTACAAGAAGTATGCTTTTTCAAGTAGGAATATTATTGCATACCCATTCTATAGCATCTTGTTCTAGATGGGCTGTAGGCTATACATTACATGCTTATTCATTTCCTAAAAGTCTATTGTAATGCACACTGTCTTTTAGAAAACAAAAAAAATAGTATGTTATTGGAGATGTGGCAAGCAGGTATACGAAAGTTATACATGGTCATGAGCAAGAAACATGTTAATTACCCAAGTTTTTTTAATGACACAGATATATAAAGTATGTCAAACCTGAGAAGCAAGGCGACTAGAAAAGGAAATAAGAGAGATGTTCTCTTGCATCTCATTCAACATGAGACCAAATGAATCCATTGAAAGATCTTTTGAAAGCAACTCATGGGAATGCCTTAAGATATCAACGAGCTTCTCTAGTTCCTGGAGATGGGATGGCATTAGGAGCAATCAACACTCATTCCAAAACCCATACAAGTACAACAAAACACAAAGACAAACATCTCAACAGTCATTACTTACCACAATAGCACATAGGTCCTGAGACTCAAAACGGTCAAACAGAAACTCAAGGTTTTCTCGAAATAATTTGTTTATCCGCTCAGCAATCAAGCTCCGTAAGTCAATGGTTCTCCCCAGTAACTAGATGCAACAAATGTTCAGAGACAGGAGAGAGTCAGAACATATTTTTAGTGAATTCTTAGTAGTGTACAGACCAAGAAATGAGAGCATAACATAACCACCCTAAATAATCAGCAGGAGCAGACAAGAGCTATTACTCTGTAAACCAAGTTTAACCAAAAACAATTCACAGATGATGTTGAGAGTTAGAAGAGAGCACCCTATCTTATTTATAACATGAAATATTAGAAATCCACCAAGCAGTCCCTAAACTACCTGTTGAGGGAAGAAAGGGATGAGTTCTAGCAGTGTCAAACCAGCTAGGTTCTGAAGAATCTAACACAGACCAAGGCTGATAAACTCTGGTTTTGTGCAGGAGAAAAAAAGTAAAAAAAAAACCGTCTTTGTTACTTTTTTCTGTCTTAAATAGACCTTACCATACTTAGACTTGGAAAACAACTAGGAAACCAATATTAGAAAGACTCTTAAACTGAAAATAACTCTTATGGTAGGAATTCTAAACTGACAAATAACTCTTATAAGAAGAATCCTAAATTGACAAAATAACTTTTTAAAAAAAAAACCTGAATTGGCACCCAAAAGGGGCTGTTCAAAAATAAAACCAAAGATAACATGGGGTCCTTGGAGGTTAGATGGGCTGCAATTGATTATTTTGGGGCATCACAGGCTGATACTCTGCATCAGTTGACTAACCACATTTTCTTCCACAAGATCTCTGTCAAGGTCTTTGGCCAATTTTTTAAGCATATTCGAAGTCTAGTAGATCCACTGGCCATCAGGGATTTGTTCAGGTGCTGACAATGAAGGGCCTAAGCAAAAAAGGAAAGGTTCTGTGGGATGTGCTGCCTTTGTGATCAGGCTATTTTTGTTTTCTTTGTTGTACAGCTGGTGATTGTACATGTCTTCTGCATATGGTCTTATATGCATACTTTTACAAAAATACATTACATTCAAAATTGCAAAGAAAAATTTGTTTATGGTCGGAAATGGTGAATAACAATTGGACCTGTACATCTTAATTGAGGACTGATAAGTATGTTTCTTTAAATAAAATCCACAAGCCTCTCATCGCACCTAACATCCTATTCTCCACGTTCTTCCTACAAGTCCGTCCTTTTCCTCATCAGGACAATAAACAGTGAACGATATTGATGTGGAAAGGCCACCAAACAATATTGACGTGAAGGACAATAACAATTTGAATACAACCTCAACTCCATCATATAAGAATACAGCAGAAAGAGAATTGGTTGACTGTTTTATCCAACTAGAAAACTCAGGTATTAATATCAAAAAAATTCATGGTTATTCCTTTGTTTCTTTTACCCAATTAATTTCATAACTATTTCAGGTATCTGAATCCCTATAGTAGAACCAACAGGCTCAATCCCTATAGTAGAACCAACCTTGTAATTAGATAGGCAAATGGATATCAGAATGAAAAGAAGGTTTGTAGTCAAATATAAAGAACTAGACAAACTCTCACCTTTACCCTAGTCATCTTTAACAGTGCATTGAATCTCATAGGTATGACAGAATATTTTTCACCATTCTCCAAGGCAAAGAGGAACGATGGATCAAGTAGCTCACTGTTGATGGGTTTTAGACAACCAAATAAAGACATTAACAGATAAATAATTGAAAGTCTTGATTGATGGAAGTTAAAGCATCAGGAAAAAAATATGCAGGAACAGGAACTACCTTGCTGCCCAGCTTTTGTAATATGTAAAAATTGTCTCACTCAACTTTAAAACAAGTTGATCAAAACAGAGGTCCGCCTACAAAAACAGAGACAACTATAAGTTATAAAATAGGTAAAATAAGGGAGTTTGTTCAAGTCATTATGATAGGGGGCTTGATCATTAAAGGATAGGGAAGTATTTCAAATAATTATGTTGTTGCAATACCTCCGCTTCAATTTCATCATACAGGAAACGTTGCTTCAACACTACAAGTGCATGCTGAGCAGAATCATTATAGATGTCAAACGGAATCAGAATGCTCTCTATAAGACCAGTATTCTGTGACTCGACCACATGATCCACCAGCATCCATGGAAGAGAGCACTCTATGGGAAACTGCATAAGCAAAACTAAACAAGTCACACCTTTTTGTTTGCAGGAAAGCTTATAAAGTAGTCATTTTTCTGAAACACAAAATGTTCTTATGTTGTCACAGAAAACTAGAACACTAAAAACCTATCTAGCATTACATTTAGAATAGAGAATTAAAACAATAAAGTGATATACACACACACGTTTAGGAAACAGTCACATAACATTAATGTCAGAATAGATAACCACAAACTATGCTAAAAATCCTATTTGCAAAAAGTAGTCACTGATATTTTTTAGAAATCATATGGAAAAAATCATTGGTTAGAGGAGTTACTTTATGTGGACCAATCTCATGTTAATTAGGCTTCTTATTTAAAGCGTCCCACCTATGTATTATGGAGGAACCATATGGTCATTCTAGTCCACCCATAAGATAACAGACCCTAGAGACTGACTAAATATATGTTCATACGCCAAACCCATGTCAGTTCTATATTTGTATTTAAGCTTTTTCCCAAGTGATATTAGACATCCAAAGCTTCGATTTTTTATTAGGAAGGGCCAAAAACTTCTGTCTTTGTATTCTGTTGTAGGGGAGTTAAGTCTTTTTACCTCCCCTGTTGTATCTAAATCTTCTTAAATTTTCACGTCATTAATAAAGTTTTACTGTAATTGATCGAAAAAAAAAAGAAAAAAGAAAGGGCCAAAAACAAGAACTCATTTTGGATGGAGGTTTTTTAGTCTGAAATTTCCACAATGAATCAAGGGTACAAGGAGGAATTTTCAGGTGCCTTCCTTTTGGCCTCCCAATCATGTTGGCATAAGGAAGATAACTACATAGTTTATACTTCTTATCTAAGCAACCTGATTAGCAGATCTGTCTACACTAATCAATACACACATCCAGGAAAGCAGTTTTGTCTGAAAGGACAAATTGGTCTTCAAAACTTTATGAACACAACTTATCACTAGTAATAACACTCATTTCTTTACCTGGATAACACGAGAAGATTCCAAGTAGAATTCTCTAAACCAAAGGAAACCAAGATCTGTCAATGTTGTAACTGTCACTGTGAAAACATCATAAACTGAAAGTTAAAACAGTTGGCTGATATAGATCCAAAAATTGGCATTGCAAGACAAACCAATACATTTCCTTATTTACATTAAAAGATTGGTGACATGGAAAGTCATCATAACATGAGAGAACTTGGAAAGTCATCATAATATGACACTGAAAGTTAATACAGTTGGCTGATATAGATTCAAAAATTGACATTGCAAGACAAAACAATACATTTCCTTCTTTACATTAAAAGATTGGTTGACTTGGAAAGTCATCATAATATGAGAGAACTTGGAAAGTCATCATAATATGAGAGAACTTGGAAAGTCATCATAATATGAGAGAACTAGGAAAGTTGTCATAATATGACAACAGAACTTGATGCTGATACACCAAAGAAAGTAAGTACAGATATGGTTTTGTTTCTTCCATTGGGTTCACTACAATATTTGACATATATGAATTTAGAACTTGATGCTGATACACCAAAGAACTTCCTAAGTATCAGTGTGTTCCAACTTCAATAAAGAAAGGTAAAGTGGAAGAAAAGGAGAAAAAGAAGAAAGGAAGAAGGTAAGGAGAGAAAGGGAAGAGAAGGAGAAGAAAAGAGGGAAGACAAACAAGGAGAAATCTCACTCAACTCTCCATACTGTTGACCCAGCTTGTATTAACATTTTACTAAAGCTGAGATGACAGCCCCTTAGATAAGTTACAACAGATATAAGAGAGAAAAAATAACAAGGAAAAGATAAGAAAGCCTTTGTCAATTTATTGTAACAATTCTAACACTCCCCCTCAAGCTGGAGCATATATATCAAAAAGTTCCAGCTTGTTACAAATATAATCGAACCTTGAGAAACCCACACTTCTAGTAAAAATGTCAGCTACTTGGTATTCARATTTAACATAGGGAGTAACAATATCTCTACTTGTTAGTTGTTAATTTTTTTTTTTTTGATGAATCACTTGTTAGTTGTTACTTTGTTTCTCACAAAATGGCAGTCAACTTCAATGCGTTTAGTCCTTTCATGAAACACTAGTTGGAGGCAATATGTGTTGCAGCTTGGTTGTCACAAAACAATTTAATTGGTTGACAAATTGTGCTATTCATCTCCTGAAGAAGATGCTTCAAGCAAACTAGCTCACAGGTAGCATAGGCCACTACCCTATATTCGGTTTCAACACTACTCCTAACCACATAGGAAAGAATAGGCCCAGATTAAGGCCCATTACAGCAAAGAACATAAAAGATAAAAAGGATAAACAGCCTATGAGCCATTCGGCCCATCTTCTCTACACTCCCCCTCAAGCTGAGCATAGATGTCAATCATGCCAAGCTTGCTAGTATCATGCTGAAGTTTAGCCTTGGGAATGCCCTTGGTGAGGAAATCTGCTAACTGTCCTTCAGAGGTGATGAAAGGTAGCCACACTTCACCAGAAGCCACTCTTTCTCGAATGAAGTGTCTATCAAGTTCAATATGCATAGTTTTGTCATGTGGCACTGGGTTGTGAGCAATGTTGATGACGGCTTGATTATCACAGTATAACATCATTGGCTTATCATGCTCAATACCCAATTCCTCCATCAATGATTTAAGCCACAATAGTTTAGAAACTCCATGTGCCATGGCTCTGTATTCTGCTTCGGTTGAAGATCGAGCAACAACCGATTGTTTCTTGCTTCTCCAAGAGACAATATTACCTGCCACCAAGCTACAGTACTCAGAGGTAGATCTTTTGTCATCAATGTTTCCAGCCCAGTCAGCATCTGTGTAGGCTTCAAGTTTCATATGGCCATGCTTGGCAAATAGAATTCCCTTTCCAGGGGAGCCCTTCAAATAACACAGAATCTGCTCTACTGCTACCATATGAGTATCCCTGGGAGCATGCATGAACTGACTGATGCAGCTGACAGCGTATGCAATGTCTGGCCGAG